TCCCTTCCCTTCCCTTCCCTTCCCTTCCCTTCCCTTCCCTTCCCTTCCCTTCCTTTCAGCATCCTTGAAACCACTTTCTAGAGGGACAACATGAATATATCCTTCCTGCCCCTGTTGAACTCCTCTGCATTTTCTATGGGTTTGGTCCAGACCTGTCCACTTGCATGAGGAGGGGTAACATGGCTTACCAGATGAAGGGAATGACTTGAGACACCAGGCTGAGGCAATACCACCTGTATGCATCTCAGTGTATATTGAGATACTAATCAGGGGCCAGTGTCAAAGATACTCATCACTCACGTTCCGACCCATCATTGCAGAGCCAGCCGCGGAGGACGCTGGGACCTGTGTGGAGTGAGGAGGTTGCACTAGGAGCAGCCGAGAGGCACTAGTCAGCCCTTTAATACTTGGATGTTAGTACTGTATGTGCGAGGTGCCTCGTCTGACAAAATCATTCCCTAGTGACCTACTGCATGCATTGCTTTTCTACAGAAAACAAAGGTGTATATTTGGAGAGAGAATGGCTCCTGGAGAATTTGTTGTACACGTCACTCTAATGTGGCTGCCCGAGGTCAGGTCTCTGGAGGTGGGGAGGTCTGAACTGTGTGCTCTAAACAGAAGCCAGAGTGTGAAAGCAGAGCAGTTCCTTCACTTTGTGTACAGCTTCCACACGGGGGCTGAGGAATGCGCTCATTAGCTTATTGAGCACCTTCCCCTGCTGGAGACAGGAATTGACCCAGAATTCTCCGGGAATGGCTTTCAGAAATGAACACATCAACACAGAGGCAAATGGGGTGCTCATAAATGCTGCACAGATATGTGACCCTGTGCACCTTTGTGTGCAGATCCTTGGACTTGCATGGCGTGGACATGTGTGCATTTGTGCACACAGAAACATGGGTTTTTAAGTGCAAGATTGAACCTCACCTGAAGATCCTTAGGTACATTTCATTCTGCTCAAAGATGAACCATGCTGAAGAATTCTAAGTTAGCCCTAAAGCTGAAGCGGGCCCTGACGTTTTATGAACACTGTGCTAATCCTGAGCTTTGTTTCTGAGCTCCATGTGAGTCTCAGATCAGAGCAGAGCCACCTTGCTTCGGGATGTGTTTCTTGTTGGCCTGGACGTGTTCAGCCACCGTCAGACAGGGTAACAGTTACACAGTGACGCCCCTGTGGTGTGTGGGCAATCTCTCCCACCGAGAAACACTTTTAAGGCCAGGGCTTTAGAGTAGGTTTGGTGAAAAGAAGGAGGTTTACCATGTGCCTTACTCGGATTTGGCTCCCACCCCGATACTTCCTGTGAGTCGTGAGTAGCCTGGTCCTTCCGAGGTGAAAGTACAGCACAGTCCAGGCCTCCCGAGCCTCCCCCACCTCCCTACGTCCACCTTGAACCTCTTTTCTTCAGGCTGCTACTCCTAAATGATGTCTTCGCAGTCTCCTCTGACACCAAGGGACGTTTCTAACAATACCTGCGTATCTGAGAAGGGCACCTGCTCTTGTGAGCTAAGGGTATTTTTACATTTAATTAAATTAAAGAGATTTCATATATTTTAATGCAATTTTTCTTTCTCAGATAATTCTTTAAAAAAACTAACAAGCATCTTTTGAAATCCTGTTTGCTAATGCCAGAATTTTATGGATTTTACAAATGTGTCTAAGACATTTTATTTTGTAGAATCAAACTATTCTCAAAATAATATCACCCAACTAGAGTTGCTTAATGCTAGTCTATAAATACATTTTATTTTATTTTATTTATTCACAGTTAACAATCATTTGGAGGAAGTTTATTTTATAGTAGCTTTTGTGAACTATGGGAAGACTAAATAACTGAAAGGTAAGTGAGATTCTACTTCTGAAAATAACTATGTAAAATATGATCACATATCTATGAATTAATTTGGAGAAACCCCTTAGTGAAGACACAGAGAAATTGTTATAGCTCTCATAGTTTTCTTGTCCTTCCTAAGGCCTCAGCCTAGCGGTCTCAAGAGTGAACGGGCTCCTTACCCTCTGGATAGAGACCATGTATCCCTTAGCATTCACTAGAGGAACAGATGTATATGTCACATGAAGGATTTGCTGTGTAGGCTTACAATGGCCACCCACAGAGTCAGGGTGGAGGAGTACAAAACGGCTGCCTATGTGCTGCAGCCAGGAGCCCTGCCAGAGGAGGACAGCCTGGAGCTCACTGCACTACCCAGTGCCAGTCCACTGCAAAAAGCTGAAGAATCTGTGGTGGAGTCCTGACAGAACTGGAGACAGGTGTCCACAGGCAATGGTAAAGACTGGAGCTCCCCCAATGAATAAAAGGGCAGACTTCGTTCTTCTTTCCCTTTTTATTTTATCAGAGCTACAAGCTTATTGGTTGGTACCAACCCACATGTGGGTTGGCTCTTCCCTCCTCAGTGTGTGACCTACCTATCAGTCATCCACAGACACAGGCAGCACTGTAGCCTGCTAATTCACTAGGAGTTCCTTACTGTGCTGAAGTTGACACCATAATTAACTATCATAGGTCCAGGCCTTAGATTCTGTTTTGCTGCACATCCTTCTGCAGAGAGGCTTGGAGTCCTGTAGAAAGGACAGGAAATTAAAGAGCAGCAAGTATCCTGCTGCTGCCTAAGGGCACAGCGTCCGCCAGACAAAGACTGAACCCAGGGCCAAGCCGGTGCAGCTTGAACTGGTTGTGTCCTCTTCTGCTGGCTCCCACACTGCAGGCTTGGCTGATGACACAGGTCCTGTTATCTTCAGTTTCTTCCAACTTCCCAGGGAACTCCTTCTTTATCTCCTACACATGAAGATGGGAGGCGTGTGGGTGTGTGTTCAGCCCAGGAAGGAGGGAGACAGTGTGCCCACACGCTACTCTTCCCCACGCTTCTGAGAATAGATCATAAACAGTGAAATGGGGAAGTGACAAATGTACAGATCAGTGGTGGCGAACCTTTGGCACCCATGCCACAGTGGGATGTCTGAAAAGGCTCACCATCGCTGGTACAGATTATTGTAAAATCTAACTCTGTCGAATAGTCAAAGAGGTAAGGGGTTAACATACATTTATATAGACAATAGGAGCCATTTGCTATAAGTGGAAAATAAACAGAAGAGCAAAGATGTCAAAAAGTGTGGTCAGGCCTGCACACAGCTCTTGCTGCCTATGGGGTTGGTACCCAGCATCGAGAACTTGACCTCCAGGAAGCAAAAGGGGTAAGATTGTTCTTACCTGTGGAGTCCCTCAAGTTTCAGCAGTTTTAAAGTCTTCATTTTACCATTTGAGAGCTGGGCCAAAGAAATACACTGAGAAATGTTTTCATAGTCTAACAAGAGAATCAAGGCCAAATGTTTTGTCAAAACATCATTTCCTTTTGGAACCAAATTTAAGAAGGAATTTATCCTATGGACTTGGCTTCAAGTGGACGTTATCATCAAATAATGTTTTACAAATGATACAGAGATTGTCTGAAGTTGAAACTTTCATAAACTGTATGCCAAAATAGGAGGTTGAGCAAATGGGCTGTAGACAGTTTGTTTCTAAAAGACTGACTTTATGCAGAAACATAGTGTGAAGCATACAGAAAGACAGCTGCTATGCCATTTGCAGTGTCAGAAATACCACCGTTCTTTTACTCTCCATATTTCCTCCATTCTGGTCAATTTGTACTTAAACTTATAATTAGTGAATGCCATAAAGTGAATGCTTCTGTGTTTTTAAGATTCACCTGTTGAAACCCCGCCCCCTAGTGTAGCTGGATTCAGAGATGGAAGCAGTAATAAGTGGTGAAGTACAGCTGTGCACCAGAAAAAACACCAGTGTGCTCCCTGTCCACACAACACATCAGCGTGAGGATGCAGTAGACGCTGCCACTGCACCCAGGAGGGACCCTCTCAGGGCTCGCCCCTTGCTCTTGGCCCTGTAGCCCCCAGGAGGGGCTTTTTCCCAGTCATCCAGTGCTGCTCTGCATGGCAGCCTGAGCCGTGTCACAGCAAATGAGTTGACGCCGGTTTCCTTACCTTGCTTTTATCCTCTCCCTCACTACAGTGCCTGTCAGAGGATGCGGCATCCCTGGGCCCCAGCACAGAGGCCCTTCTCGTGGGGACCCTGTGCTGCTCATCCCTTCTGACACCCTTCTTCCAGCTCCCATCCCCAACTCCAGCCTCTTCCTGTTGGAGACTGTCCTGCTGGTCCCTCCGTGGCACCGACACTTGCTGCGTCTTTCTGTTCTATTTCTATTAGACTGTTGTGGTGAAGTGCGACCTTGTCTTTACCATGAGACTTCTGCTACACTTGAGATTTTGTTCTTAGGCTCCCATTTGCCATATGTCCTTGAATTTGGATTTGCCACTTAGAGAACAACCCCCTGGTGACTTGCCTGGCCTCTCTACACTGCTCCTCAGCCCAAGCAAAGATGGTGAGGCTGCAGGAAGAAGGTGGCTTCTCCGAAGCCTTGTGGAAAGCTGGTGCGGCAGGTTCAGGACAGACTGCAAGCACCTCCCTTCCTGTTTCCACCGTCCTTCCCGCTGGTTCTTTTGTTATTATTAATTATTATTAAGTTTATTGGTACAATTTAGATGTACACAACGATCACATTCATTGTAGGGAATTTACACCTGTGCATGATACGGCCTGGTTCCTCTTTTTTTAATCCCCTCCCCCGCTCTTCCCCTCCTTATTTACAAAGCTTTATTTCCATTTTGTCCTGATTTTATCATTTTCCCCTTTTCCCTTCCTCCCTTCCCCTCCCCCTCCCTAGTTACCCTTCCTGTTGAACAACTCCTTCCTAATTCACAATATCTGTTGTACATTTTAGTCCTCACCTACACTTTTGCTTTCTCACATCAGAGAAACAATGCAATATTTATACATGTATGTCCTATTATTTCACTTAAGAGTATGGTCTCAAGGTGTATCTGTTTAGGTAGAAATGTCTCAAGTTTATTTTTCTTTATGACAGAGTAGTACTCCATTGTATAAAAAAACCAGCTTTTTTATCCATTGCTCTGTTGATGGGCATTTGAATTATTTCCAATTTTAACTGTTACAAACTGTGCTGTGGTAAACACAAATGTGCATATATTGCTGTAGTATGATGCTTGTAATTCTTCTGGAAAGATATCAAGAAGGGAAATAGCTGGGTCAGATGGGACCACGAGACCTAGTTTTCTGAGGAATCTCCACAGTGATTTCCACAGTGGTTGCACAGGTCTACACTCCCACCAACAGTGCAGAAGTTTTCTCTTTCCCCACAGCCCCACTAGCATTTATTTTTAGTTGATTTCTCAATTATTGTTATTCTTTCTGGAGTCAGATAGAATCTCAGTGTTGTTTGTTTTTTTTTTTAATTGCATCTCTCAAAAAACCAGTGATGCTGAACATTTTTTCATATATTTGTTTTCTACTAGTATTTCTTCCTTTGAGAAGTGTATATTCATCTCAGATGCGTATTTTTGAATTGGGTCTTTAAATTTGGGGTGTCTAACTTTTTTCATTTCTTTATATGTTCTACATAGACCTAGAATAGCAAAAATAATTCTTGGCAACAAAGTCAAGGTAGAATGCATCAAATTACTGACTTGAAATTATACTACAAAACCACTGTGATAAAATCATCTTGGTAAGGGGAAAAAAGAAACCCAACCCAGACCTGAGGATCAATGAAACAGATCAGAAGATGCAGAAACAACTCCAAATGCACTCAACCCCCTTATCTTTGAAAAAGGGAACAAACATGCTCCACTAGAAGAAAGGTAGCCTCTTTAATAAATGGTGCTGGAAAAACTGACTTTCTGCTCTGACTTTCCACAAGCCAAAGACTAAAACTAGACCCATGTATATCACCATGCACTAAACTAAAGTCAAAATGGATCAAAGATCTAAATATTAAACAGAAACACTAAGTCTACTTGGAAGAGAACATAGGTAGAATGTTTGAAGACATAGGTGTAGGCAAAAGTTTCTTGAACAAACCTCTGATCTCATGGGAAATACTGCAAAAAATAAAAAACTTGGATCTCAACCTTTTAAAAAGGTTTTGCAAAGCAAAAGAAATCACCAACAGAGTGAGACAACAACCCACAGAATGGGGAAAAAATTTATCCTGTTGTTCCACAGACAAAGGTCTTCCAGCTATTTCTTTTTCTTCTCTTAAGTGATCTCAGATCCTCTAAGTCTGGATTAAATGTTCATCAGCTTGGCATGGCTGGCTGTAACCTGGTTGGCAGTTCATGCAACAAAAACTTTTTGCCTTGAATGTGTTTCAGGATCTCCAAAGTGAAAGATGAAGGAAATAATGGAGATATGGAAAAGACTACTGAATTCTCCAGGAGGAAGTGATGTCAGTTCTACAGGAGGAAGTGGTGTCACTCCTCCAGGAGGAAGTGATGTCACTCCTCCTTATCCACAGTGGGTGCTTCATTTGTGGCTGTCTCCAGGCCTGATGCAGGGGTGCATAACTAAAGCAAAACCAAGAACACAGCTCCCACTACCACTAGGAATCATGAAGGCGGATGAGGTAATAAATGACTGCTTGACACTCTTGTTCCCTTTCTTCATCTCAATGTTTGGGGCATTGCTGTGCTTTCTTGATTATCAAACAGCAAGGACAGTGAGAGGAGGTGGGGGAGAGCACTGAAGGAAGGAAGGAAGGATGTGAGAAAGGAAGGAAGGAAGGAAGGGAGGAAGAAAGAGAAGGAAGGAAAGAAGGAAGGGAGGAAGAGAAGGCAGGCAGCTTGTATCAACCATTCCTTTTCTGATCATTTACTTTCCCTGGAAATATCTGTGGCTGAGGGAGGCCAGAGATAGGGGTTCTCGTAATGATCAGTGGGAAGGAATGATGACCATGAATCTTCCACCAGCTTCAGCCTCATCGGGGTCCTAGGTGGGCCCCAGAAGGCATGGTGGGGTGCAGAGAGGACCTGCCTCCTTGGCAGATGGGCCACCCCCAGTGCACCTGAACAGTGAGACCAATGGGGCCACACCTGAGCTCCCAGCCAACACAGTTGGTGACTTTCCTTCCTGATGCCGACAGGAAGGAGGGTGTAGGGGAGGCCACCTGCAGGGTGCAGCAGGGTCACAGGAGGTGAGCTGCACTCGTTGGAGTTGCAGGGGTGGACAGCAAGTGTTCTGTGGTTGAGGTGCCGTCGACAGACACAGAGAAGCAAGGCTGCTGTGGGCTGTGGGGTTGAACATGGGTCCCTGGAGAAGGAGCCTCAGAGAGACCTGCTCTAGTCCAAGCAAACTCCTAGACAGCATTAGAACTCCCAAAGCCATACAAGACTGCTAAAGGCGGAAGTCACCATCACAATTCCCATTTGTTGAGAATTGGTGGAATCCCAACAGGCGGCTCTACTTTTCCACTCTGCTATTGACTTATTGCAATGATGAGGGTCATTGCCTTAGATGCCTCCTGCAGAGCAGCCAAGCTCGGCACTAGAACTGACACTGCAGGCCATCCAAGCACCTGGCCCACCACAACGGGCTGTTGTTATTGCCTTGCAACAGCTGGTTTTCTGGCGAGGCTGCGGAGACAGGTACAGTGTGTAAAATACATCTTGCTGAGCTCATAAACATGCGTCATTACTTTACATGTGCAGTGACTTGGAAGTTCTGGTCAGAGGCTCAAGGACCCTGTCCCTTTAGATTTTGAGAAGACTTAAGAACTAGGGCCAAAGCCCCACAGGGCGACAATGTGGGCGTCATGGAGTGATGGGGCTTGTGGTCCTCACGGGACCATGCAGCACAGGGTCAAGACAGAGTGGGTGCTTCAAGAGGAACCAGTTATAATTCATGAGCACTTGGGGATACGATAAACTGCTGTGAAAACCCAGCTTTGCTTCACTTTCGGCTGCTGCACCTGTGTCCCTTGCTGCGACCTTGAAGCAGTGTCCTGTGGACAGCGATAGTCACAAGGCAGGCTGCTGTCTTGGCCAGAGCTGCAATCTCAGGCATTGCCCATGGGGCAGTATTATCTGCCTGGTGCTCAGCTAAAGCAGCGAATCAGCAGAGTGATATGCAGTGGATAAAAGACCCAGCCTTCCCTACTTCTCTCTGTCAGTCTGGAGCAAGGAAGGCCGTGCTGGTGTTTGCCTTGCTCTCCTGGAGAGAGATTTCATATGGAAGACTCACAGGGAGCTGGACATTTCCGAAATCCTGGCTGACCCTGGGCTTCCAACCTAGCACTTGAAGGTGGGTCGGGTTGTCCGTTCCACGGGGACGGCTGCCATATCTCAAAACAGTGCAGTAGCAAAGTGCAGGGCGAGCAGGTGATCTTCCCAAATGGAGAAGTCTCTCAACTAGCTGGGAAGTAAGACTGGGCTGCCCCAGTACCAGTGTGGTTCTTTACAACACCCTGATGTGTGTTTAGAGACAGAGGATACAGTCCAAACAGCATCCTTGGTAAGTCCCGGTGTCTCCGTGTTTGTGGTGCGCAGTTTCAGGAGTTTGTTCTGTAGAGTGTGCCTTTCACTTGATATGAAAAGCACCGCCTGCCAGAGCTGGCGATGCAGCCCATCTCTGGCAAGACTGTGTGTGTGGAAGCAAGGTGCCACTGCACAGGTGTGCAGGGCCCAAATGTGGCCCGGGCAGACTGATCTGGGGACACGGAATTCCAGCCAGGAGGAAGTCTAAGGGTCCCAACCTGGTCAGAGAGGGTCTGGAATCAGATCACTTCTTTTGTGGATGTAAGCCATGCTCAATGAAATAAACCAAGCTCACTGCAAATACCAGCAGGACCACTACCGGGAACCCAAGTCCGTCCAGGCTCCTGAGCTGCAGAAGGCACCGGGACCTGGACAGCGTCTTTCCTCGGCTGCTGCCTAAGTTCTTAACAGTACAGGAGCTTGGGTGGGTTCAGAGCCTGCAGGGTCACAGGGAAGGTGTCTGTGGAAGAGGACAGGGAGTGTGGTGTGGATAACCGCTTACCTCCGCCCTCAGCCCGGTGAGCCCCACGCCTGGAGTTTGAACACCACATGGTTACTGATGAGAAAAGTGGTTTTGACAAGTTCAAGATCCTGCAAAACCAACTCCTGCAGCAGTCGGAGGCACTTCGCCTGAGGAGGGGGAGTCAGACGCTGACACCTACTGAGGGTGACAGGAGGCAGGCCCTGCTGGGGGCCAGCCCAAGACGCTGGGAGCAGGGGCACGTTCGTGGGGTTTTGGAAGAAGCCTTGCCTCCTTCTTCCTTCCTTTCCTCCCTCTTTCTTTCTTTCTTTCTTTCTTTCTTTCTTTCTTTCTTTCTTTCTTTCTTTCTTTTTTTCTTTTCTTTTCTTTTCTTTTCTTTTCTTTCTTTCTTTCTTTCTTTCTTTCTTTCTTTCTTTTTTTCTTTTCTTTTCTTTTTTCTTTTCTTTCTTTCTTTCTTTCTTTCTTTCTTTCTTTCTTTCTTTTTCTCTCTCTTTCTTTCTTTCTTCCTTTTTTCTTTTCTTTCTTTCTTTCTTTCTTTTTTCTCTCTCTCTCTTTCTTTCTTTCTTCCTTTTTTCTTTTCTTTTCTTTCTTTCTTTCTTTTTCTCTCTCTCTTTCTTTCTTTCTTTCTTCTTTTTTTCTTTTCTTTTCTTTCTTTCTTCCTTCCACTCTTTCTCTCCCTTTCTTCCTCCCTCCTTCCTTTCTTTCCTTCTCATCTCCTGTGTATTATATGATGATGATCCTTTCATCAGACCTTGCAACCTGTTGAGAAGCACTATGGCACCTTCAAATGAGCTCAGCTTCCAAACTTTCACCTGTGAATTCACCCCCCTTTAACCCACCTCACAGAGACCATTCTACCTGGACCGTCCTTACTCTCTGGCTGCCTTCTCCCTAACGCTTAGTCCAGGCATGGGCAGAATGATGGAGTTAGAGGGCTCTGTGTGCAGTCATGCTGAACTGTTCGCTGTGACATCTGTTTTTCTCTTGGATGGCCCTGGGCAGCAGCAGTCACTGTATCTTTTATTGCACCTTGCGAAGACACTCACGAAAGAAGACTTCCAGAACTGCTTCAGAAAATGGCAAGAATAATGAGATGGGTGTGTTCAAAGCAAGGGCGTATAATGTGAGGAGAACCAATGGAAATGTGTCTTTAACTGTAAGTGTTTTGAAATTTAAACATTTACCATATATTTTGGTCACCACATTTTATGTGTATATATATATTACTGCTCAAAACTGGTCATATCTTTCCACTTCAGTGTCCACTGTTTCTTACTTGCATGGCAGAGAACAAACTTTGTTAGTTGCTGCCTCCTTCGGGCTCATTATTACACACTGCTGGCCAGGCCCACCCTGCTGTTCCAACACTAAGGAGAAGGTTGAGGGTCTCACCCTGCGTGACCTTCACTCGCACATTTCTAAACTGCTTCTTGCTCTCCTTTCCTTCAGCAGGATGTGCGTGAGTGCACACACCCTACTGTTAGAAGCATGCGCACCCCAGGGATGAGGGCCCTCACTCCTCAGGACCCAAGACAGGGCCAGGACCAAGGGGCTGGTAGAAAGGGGGATGCCTCGGAGTGGCAGGGTGTGCGGAGCTCTGAAGTCTGGGAAGCTAAGGCAACGGTGAGCTCTGTGGGACGACAGGATTTGGGGAGACCACCCCGACTGGAGAAGGACCCAGGAGGAAAACCAGGTTGAGCAGTGCAGAGCAAAGCTGAGCAATCAACTAATATAGAAAGGTTATTGAAATATAAAATAGCGAAGAATATTTAAACTGCTCACGTGTTTGGAGCACAGAGCCGTCCACTACAAGCTACCAGGAAACATCCAGTGGAAGGCACATGCGCTCTTGCGCCTGGTCGGGTGATGACTGCGAATATTGATGCTCTGGTTCCCAGCCTGACTTCCAGCATTTGCTCTTTGGCGATCCTTCTTCTGGTGCCCTGAGCCAGCAAACATGAAACTGTACAGCAAGAGCTCTATGTGGCTTTTCCTCACATCGTATCGCACCCCTGCGATAATGCGAATGACAATTGAAAGATGATTGAAAATGCGTATGAAAAATACTAGATCTATACAAAGACTTTAGAAAGCTGAATGCTTCCTCAGCACCTATAATTGAAAAATAAAGTAAGGAAAGCTCTGTTGCGATGTTTGTTAAGATGAAATAGTTGCACCTCCACCTCCCACCCGCGTTGGAGCTGTGTGTTCTGGGATCAGAATCCAGGGAGACTGCACCCTTTTCTGACACGAACTTAGCCTGAGAGACATCTCTGGGCTTCTGCTGGGAGGAGGCAGGAGAGCACTCCAGGTCCTCTCTTGGGTGGGGACCTTGCTAGGCATGAAATAGAAGCAGCACCATGAGGTGGGAAGGCACCATGAGGTGGGCATGGCTTCCTTCAGTACCCGCTGTGGCCCGGGACCAGGGCACAGGCTTTCGGTTCTCTTACCAGCATTGAGAGAGGGTTCTCTGCAGGTCCCTGCTGTTTCTTCCCACTGTGTCCCACTCCACAGGTGACCACCACATGGCTGTAGAGTCCCTGGCCCTCTGTTTCTCAGGTGTCTGCTTGAAGTAGCCCTGTGTCCAGGTGGAGTCAAGTCATCCTTCAGTCTCCTCAAAGGACCTCAAGGTCAGTCACCTTCCCCCCTGAGGTCAGCCTGTCTCGGTGGAGCTTTCAGATCCATCTCGGTCCCTATTCAAAGCAGGGTGTCCAAGAGGAAATGCTCTGATACCTGTGAATGTGGCCTCATGTGTGGGTGCTGAGCTTAAGACAAGGTTGTGAGGGTGAGCTCTAGTTAAGCAGGAGAGGTCTGGGCCAGTCCTCAGCAGGGCCTTGGGTGGCGGCCATCCCTGTGCCCTGGGACCTGGGACCACAGCCTCGAGGTCTGTGTGAGAAGCCAGTTGTGTTTGGAAGTTATCTACCTGCAGGGCTTTGTTAGTGGTGACCTAACAAACCCTACAGGCCTGTTCAGCACCTGAAGCCACCGTTCCTGTGAGCAACATGTCTCTGGGAGGTGTTGTGAGGGACTGAGTGGCCGGGACCCAACTGTGTGCACTCGAGAGGAGAGACACCATGCTGGCCTCAGAAGCACGGGTCAGGGAGCTCTGAGGCGACTGCTGATCTCCCCAGAAATGCCCCCACCCTCCTCTGCTTATCCAGAAAGACTCCCAAGGCTCTTCAGGAAAGACACCTGCTTGTCACAAGCACCTGTGGAGGGGGTCAGGCCTCTCCCTTAATTTCTACCGAAGAGCTTGCTGGAGCTGTCCAAGTGCTGCAGGCGTAGGAAGGTGATCCTGTGCGTCCCGTTCATGCTCTGTGTGCACTGAGCTCCTGGCCTCTCACGGGCTTAAACCCAGGGCTCACATTTGTGTCCATCGGCTGCCTGAGTAGAGTGGTGCCTGGTGTGGGTGCCGGGCCGCATGCTGCGTGGGAGAGGGGACACACAGGTGCACTCCCTGGTCCGGCCCCGAGCTTCCCAGTTAAGGTGCTGAGAGGAAGCAGTGATGTCCAATGGCTGGCGGCTGCTCTGGGATGGCTGCCCATGGTTGGACTCTGAGGAGGCTTTAGAGAGAAGGATGGGGTCCAGGCTGAGGCGAGTGCCTTCCAGAACTTTCTGTGCAAGAGCAGGGAAGGCTTTGTGAAACCCTTTGTGCGGCCTGAGCCTTCCTTCCCAGCACTGCAAAACCCGGCTTGTCAGCCTGTGAGAGCTGCTCAGGGGGCCCTATCCAGGTGCTTTACATGACAAATCGACCTCATCAATTGCTTCTGCAGTTGCCTAATCAAAACAACCAGGTTCAATTTTCTTAAAACACTCTGTGCAGGGCTGATCACCTCTCTCAGAGTTTAAAAACTGTGTGAAAGCAAATGTGGGGTGTAAGAGGCCCTGAGGCTGCCTGCAAAGCTCCAGCCGTGCTCACGGCTTCCCTGCAAGCTGTGGTCTCATCTGGAGCTCGACGAGAGGGCTGCGCCTCTGCTTCCACCTGACTAAGAAACCACGAGCACAGACGGCCATGACTTCAGCCCACCCTGGACGACATGCAGCACCCACAGGAAGGTGTCCGCCTGACTCTGAGCTGCAGGAATGTTGGAGCAAAGGAAGCGGGCTGCTCAGGCTTCTGCACCCACTACTCAATGTGTGCTTGAGGGTCAGAGATGTGCTCCTCTGTTCTCAAAACGTTTCGCCATTTGTGCTCTCTATTTGTTCCTTTATAATGAATAAAATCTGCTTAAGTTTTCTGTATGAATAGCACTCATTTGATGGATCTCTGCATAGAGGGCAGCTAATGTTTGACTGGATTATGTTCTAGTTTTAATTTAAAATTTAATACAGAGTTAAACATTTTTGTAATAGTGCATACATACAAAAGTGGCCATTTCTCTTTGCTGTCTCCCATTTGCTCTCTGCTCTCCCTCCCTTGGTACTGGTATTAGTCAGTCTCCCTTCTTATCAAGCGAATCGGACTCTTAGTTACCAGTGCTGAGTAACAAATGGTGGCATAGTTTTAGCCCTCAGGGTCTCTGCAAGTCAGGAGTCTGGGCCTGGCCTAGCTGGGTTTTCTGTCCTGCTCTCAGCAGATGGTGCCTGTGTCCCCATGGGGAAGCTTGTGTGGGCTGGGGTCCACACAGAAGTCTCCCGGATGCTGGCAGAGTCTGATCCACCCTGGTGCAGAGTTTGTGGCAGCATGCTTCTTTGAAGCCAGCAAAACAGGAAGTCCTGGCCGATTCTCCTTTCTCCTCCCCAGTGGGTGTGGAAGGACTTCCTGGAGGCTCGGGTCTCCCCACGGTGACTCCTGCTGATGAACCTGGAGTCATGGACCAGAGATCTGTCTGAGTATGTCTGTGTAGCTATCACAAAACACCTTAGGCTGGATAATTCATTAAAAATAAATAAAACTATTCCTCACAGTCTTGGAGGCAAGAAAGTCCACGATCCTGGTGCCAGCAGGGCCAGCACCTGGAAAAGTTCCTCAACAAGAACTGGGCATTTTCAGATGGCAGGAAAGCAAGCAGAGCCAAGCAGGACGAGCGCGTTGTTCTCTGAGAATTTAATCCGTGCATCCCGCTGGTGGTGGCTTCACGGCTTAATCACTGCCCCCAGCCGCTCATCTCCTGAGACCACCACAGTGGAGCATCTCAACACGTGTTTTGCAGGGACACCTGCTTTCACTCCTGCAAAGACCTTAGTTCAATCTGCAGACGCCTTCCACCTCTGCCACGTGACAGAGGAGCACCACAGGAGTGATCTCCAATCCCTGCACCTACCTGCAGTGTGAAGAAGCGCGAATGACTCCGCCTGCCCGGGGAAGGGCTGTCAGAGAGAGCTCTGGGCGTCTGCCCACACAGCCTGCTGCTGGGTTTCCCCTGGTGGTGATGGGATGCTGACCGCTGGGTGTAAACACATTGACACACACCCTGGCAGTGCCACACGCAGCAGGTGACATGCATCCCTACCCTGAAACCAGTGGATCTACCCCTGAAGATGCTGACCCAGCACAAGCGCCCTGAGTGAGGGAACTGAAGGTGTTTGTGGGGACACGCCCTAGCTCCTCTGATCACTGTGGCGATAAGTTTGACCTTGGACTGTCTAGCCTCCAGCACAGTGAAAATAAATTGATTTTGATTTTGAATTGTCCACTTTGAGACCGGTTCCTCCGTCACTCAGCTTGTGGCAGAACTGAGTCCCGGCTGTTCACAGAGATATCACAGGGGCCCGAGGCCCCGTACCAGCTGTTTTCTTTCCAGTCTCACTTCCAGGCCTGCCCCCCGGCTTTCCTGAGGTCAGTTCCCAAAGAGGTACCTGCCTGCTGATTCTGGACCCACACCTGGACCTGGGGAACCACTAGGCCACTGGTGTCCCTGGCTGCATCAGCAGCGTCCCTGAGGTGCAGCTCAGTGTGGACGCATGCGTTTTCTGGCTGCTTCTGTGTAAGTTCCAAGCCAGACCTTAAGCGACAAATATATATAC